TTTTCATTTTTTATGCTCAAAAGTCATTTTTTTATTTTTTATAATTATTATTTTTTAATCAGATTTATGGATATTTTTGTTAATTACTCTATTTTTTTAAAATATATATTTTATTATTTTTTCTGCTTAAAAGTCAATTTCATCTGAAATTTAAAAAATAAATCAACAAATCAAGGGTTTAAATCAATTTGTGCATAAGTCATGTAACTTTTACGTGCAAAAATCTGTTAAATAATGGACAGAAGAACCTTATAAAATCTAACAAAATAATTTAATTTAAAATAGACTAAAGTTGTAGGAGATAAATTTCGACATTTTTTTTTTGAGGGATCTCGATTCTCAAATGAATATTTAAAGTTTAGAAAAAATTTAACCCATTTAGCCAATAGGCAGTACTCGTTAGAAATTCTCTTAACTCTTGGCATCTTTAAAGGGCTATTTTGGGATGGAATCCTGAAGATCATTCTTGTTATTTCCCACCATTCAAAACATCTATAAGCAAGCAAGTCTATTTGACAGAGTTATATTTTAGCAAATTCTGGTTTCTAGATTGGGTCGTTAAAACATTTGTGACTACACATTACCATAGTAGAAGTAACAAGAATATCTTATTATTATTTTTTAATGAATTTGAAGACTATATTATAGGCAAAAACCAACTGGGCGCTGGTATAAAAAAAAAGTTACAATATCAAATTAAAAAAATTATAAAAAAAGAGTTACAATCAAGTCGAAAAAATATTAAATCTCTACATATTAGACTTAGATAGAAAGTCAGTTATATAGTTTTTTTCTCTCAGAATATGAGAGAAAGAAATAGATTTTAAATACAATATCAAATTAAAAATATCATTAAAAATATTCTAAAGTTTTTATGGTCTAGCAGCTGAAGTTTTGTGCATTTTCAAGTAATAGTATTGGCCGAATCTAACTTTACAACTCAATGAACTTGATGAGTTAAAGGAGAAGCCGCAATAATTTTTAAGACTTTACAAATAATCTCTTATTACTATGGAGGATGGACAAATGATAATGTGGTCGTATTATGCTCAAATTGCCAGTGAAAATGCAAACAAATTAAAGTTGCCCCATTCAAAAATCGTGACGATAGTGTTTCAACATGTAATCAAAATTTGCTATGATTGCCACTTATGACCATTTCTTTAGCTCTTATGAATGGCTTTGGTTTGCTGTTGAACGTAGCACTCCTCTGCTCCTCATCTGATGATATTTTTCATAAATTAGGGCCCAGTTTCTCTTGGATTATATTTGCATTCTTTTTTTTTTTTCTTTTTTTTTGGTTGTCAACGCAAAGTAAATAAAGAAATGATTCCAGAAAGTCTTCCACTACTTCAATTTTGGAGAAAAGAATTTTTTTTCCTTTTAAAGGGCTGGATTTTTACGTTTATCTTCTTTATCAAATTTTTACTTGCGTAAACAATAATGCAATGAAAAATGTCTGAAATGACGAAGCACAGCCTGATTTTCTTTTCCCTTGTTATACAGTCTAGGCAAAGGATTAAACCATCATATATATATATATATATATATATATATATATATATATATATACATACACATAAGTCCAAACTCCACTTGTGCCCTATTCAATTAATGACTTCTTTTTTCACATTTTCTAACAAAATTACCACGGCTTTATTATATATATGGCGTGTCATGTTTCTGTCTAATTTTATTATTATTTTTTTTCAAAAATTGACCTTTCTCAACGGAAGAGGATGACTTTTTCAGAGTACTCAACAATGCTCACCCAAGTGATTAATTTCATAACCAAATATGCATCATTAGACAGAAGACATAAGTTTGGAACAGATCAAGGAAGATCTTGTATTGGATATTGATCAGGAAATTATTGTAATAAAGTGGCTTATTATATATATGATGGCCACAACCGTGGTTTAGGCCTAGATCCAATAATCGTAACCATAACTCCTTTAAGTATACTGTTTGAAACTCAGACATGATGCGATTAACTTCCTAATGGAGACACCAAAAAGCTTTGAAGTTGACATGCTTACGCCATAGTGATTTTGTTAGGTTCAAAGATGTAGATGATTAGTAATGGCTTAAGCACGCATCTTGTGCATTCTCCACACTGCCGTTGTCGAGTATATGGTTATGCATTTCTGTCATGAGCAAATTGGCCAGGGCGTGAGTTGGTGGGGCAAAGGGCAAAGGCCTTTAGTTTACTTGAAGAATTCTTAATAAAACTTTCTTCTCAGGATTCAAATAATATAGCACCTAAGTTGATTAGCGCAGCATGCCAACCTCTTAATTTATGTCCATTCGTTTTTTTGAAAGAGACGGCATGAGAGGGAAGTAACCTATCAATTACCAGGAGAAGCTTTGCACGAATTTTTTTTTTACCAAAGATGTAGACATTTGATCATTAATAACAATATTTCTTTTCAATGGAGATAGGATCACTGTGGCACGTCTACTGGTTGCGAGTTTGGCAACAATGTGAGTTCATAATGGTACTAGGAAGGATGTATGATCGTGACCAATCCTTTCATCAAGCAATTATCCAATGATCAATCAGGCTACTGTCGAAAAACTTTTGATCTCTCATCGCTTGACACATTACGCAAGGAAAGAAGGTAAAGAAGATATAAATTTTATAATACACAAAGAGTAATTACCGATATGTACAGTAGTTACTCCAATATTTCATTTTGAATAGAGAGATAGACACATAAACGGATCCATAAAAAATGATAATAAGATTTTCACGCTCACTTAATTTTTTTTTATTTTCTTTCTCTTGTTTTTCTCTCATTTTTATATATCTATATCTCTCTTGTATCGTAAATGTCAATAATTACTCTTTATGTATTATAAAATTTTTCGTAAAGAAGATGTGCTAGCTAGCTAAATCGAAAAAACATAATTAGTGGCTAAACAATGGCAACTGATCCTTTAGAAACAAAGAGCTAAACAACTTTTATATCCACATTGTTAGTGGATTACGACCTTAAGATCATACGTAAGCAGGAACAAAAACATGCGTGCAAATTAGTAATATTATTCTCAATGCACCATCCACCATCATTATTTTAACACACAAAGTTATATGCTATGGACAACAATGCTCTTGAGAAGACAATAAAATATGTATTAATGTATTGGCTTTTTAATTAGCAGAAGAGGAAAGACAAATGAGTAGATGATGATGGTGATGAGCTTATCCTCTTTCAACCAATCACTACGTACAAAAATGTGATGAGCCCATGTAGAAAATTTGTGAAGGAAAGAAAGGGAAAAATAAAAGTTGGGTTGTTTGAGTGGGGGGAAGTGGAGACAGTGCACACACGGTACAGATGATGGTACCAAAATTTTGCAAGTCCATGATGGGGAAACCTAAAAAGGTTTGAAAACAGACTTTGATGTGGTTTCCTGTGGCCTCATGGAATTTTAAGGAGTCTCGTTTCAGGTGATGACACGTGAATCAAAGACGATTAAGCAACTGAGATAGGAGAGTACTTCATTAGAAACTGCATGCAACTTTCAAAAGCAATAAAAAACCATACATAGCGACCCAACTTTTAACTTCCATATATAATTTGATATTAGGTACATATTTAATTAATGTATTCATCACCATGTTCCAGGTCCATTAATTTTTTGTGAAATTAATATCTAAAAATGCAGGTTTAAATATTAATACATATTAATTTAGTAATGCAGAAATGAATAACATGTGAAAATTCAGGTTCTGTAATATCCCTTCCAGAATCCTGTTTTCAGTATGCGTGTTCCTGTACATGCCATAAAAGTGATAGAAAGAGGAAGATGCGAGTGGCCTTTATCGGAGGTGAGTTGACAGGCCGTGTGATTTGGTGGACGAGTGGTGCGCCCGGCACCCATGGTAATATATGGACCCAGTAGGGAGCACGATCAGTTGTTTCTTTTTTATGTGTTGTGTTACCCTCCAAGAAATGATGCTTGGTACCATATGGTAGTTGTTAAATCCAGTCCCCCTCCGTACCTATCACTTGTAGTCATTTTTATGGTGCTCTCTCTTTCTGTGTCTGCATTTTATCCATGGCTATATGTTTGGACTAGGCATGTATGTATACATGAGGAATATGTAATTATGGATAAGAGAACAAGTTGCAGCAGCTATATTGGTTGCTGATGATGTCTTTTTTGTTTTTGTTGTTTTCCTTAATTGGTAGGACCATCAGGCCATGAATTAGCCCTTCTCCAATATGTTCAATGATTAATCAAATCAAAGCATCTTCATGAATTTTATGCTTGATATGGGTTTGCGTAGTGTTGTTCCGTGCATTCGTTGGAATTTCCTGGTAATTTTTTTGGTTAATTTGTCATGTAAAATATGTTTGATGGATTATAATTTCCTAACAAGGCACTTTCCTTACTTTTCCCTGCACCATCTTTGCAGTGACAGCATAAAATTATAACAATGGTGCATATATGTATATATATATATGCACGTATATATATACACATACATACATATGTGTGTGGTGTGCATATGTATATGAGGTTTATCACATATTCGATTCCTATACGAGTTCGATTGATCCTCTATGATTTTTCAACTTAATTGAAACTCTTTATTTTTACAAATTTATTAATTCGGACCTTCGATAAAATGCTATTAAATATTCATTTTACGTGACGAGTTAGAACTAACGAGGTTCGAAAATATAAAAAAGAAGGTTTAAAATAAATTTAATATTAAACAAACATTTAGGTTTTTTAAAAGATGAGACAAGACAATATTGCTCAACCCCATTATCGGTCAAACATTATTGTTTTCTCTCTTTATTCTCTTCATCTTCTTCTTTCTCAATCGTAAAAAAAAAAAAAAAAAAAAAAAAAAAACAAAAAAACAAAAAAAACCCTAATCTCTAAATCAATCGTCATCATCTTCTTTCTCAATGAATAATCCATTTTTCAAATCCGGTTTAAACGAAGAGGAAAAAAATCCTAATTTGTCATTATATTCTCAATTATTGCAAATTCTTAAACTGCCCGATCTTTACCCTATAGTCATCAATCTCCACTTTACATCTAAACCCAATAGCCTCGCAAGCTCCTCCATTAACATTGTTCTCCTCCCCTACGAGTCCTAACGTCATTAGCCACGAACCCAATCAAAATCCACCATAAATTCGAAATCAAAATTGCCATGAAAGCACGAGTTGATCCCTCACCGTTGCCATCCAAACAATTGTTCTTTCCCGACCATTTGAACCCTAACGACCCAACTCCTACATGACCGAACCACCTTCCACTCACTCGAGCCATACATCACCACTGCTCCCTTTCTCCTATGGCTATGTGAACTATCACCGGAACCCTCATCAACCACCATTAAGCTCACGTTCCCTCACAATAAAGAAGACAAAATCTCAAGATCTAAAAACAACTAATTTTTTAAATCAATAAAGTCAAAACAATTTTAGTTTAATAATCCATAATTAAAGTTGGGTTGTAAAAGAAATTCATAATTAAAACTTTTATATTAGAGGATTTAAAAAGATTTAAAAAGGTTTGGTAGAGATTGTAATTGTCAATGGAGGGCTTTAGGCTTTGTTGCTTGCACGACTAAAGGGAGATAAACGATGTGGTCAATGGTGGGTAGGACTCGAGTTGTTAGGTTTCGACGAGTTGGAAGGGTTGTGGCTTAAACAAAAGATGTGGCTAGGATGAGGGTTTGGGTGAGGAGTGAAAAATGGTCGTTATTGGATGGTAGGGAGGTTGTGGTGGTGACGGGTAGTCGGTGGTCTACGATGTTATGATTGTAAATGGGTTATGGTGAAGAGGAGGTGTTGGTACAAAGAGAGAGAAACAAACATGTTTCCCTTTCATTTTTTGATTTTTTTGATTTTTTTTTTTTGAGTTATTAGGGTGGGTTAATGTAGCCTTTTACCATCTTTTTAAAAAGCCTAAATGTTTGTTTAATATTAAAATTATTTTAAAACTCCTTTTTTTAAAAAAAAATTTGAACTTATACTTGAAACAATTAGGACCCACATGGTCATATATCCATGTTTGATTGGTAGCCGTCTATCATGTCTTGTTCAAATTATTTTTGCAAGCCTTACATGATCTAAAAGATTTTCACCCTCCTTTTCTATTCTTCGTAAAAAAAAAAGTGCCTTATTTACAATTCAAATCATTTATGGTAAATCACGGAAAATGGTAACTTTAGGTTTGTATTGTCCATTTATATGGTTATAACCAAACATAGCAAAATTGATCATGCCTCAAAAGCAAGGTACATTTTCGATATTACAAACCTTTTTCTATCTTCTTTTTACTTGCACTAATTGCACCATAAAAAATGACAATAGGTTAAATAGATTAAATCTCTTATAAATTTTAAATTACTTGAAAATTGGTCTTTCAACTAAAAAAGAATCGAATTGAAATCCTATGACTTTGGTTATTTGAAATTAGATTTTTCTATCATATTTTGTAGGATCTCATCCATTAATTAACAGATTTTTGCACATAAAAGTTAGTTGACTTTGTATATATTGATCTAAGCTCTTGATTTATTGACTTATTTTTTAAATCTTATATGAATTTGACTTTTGAATAGTAAAAAAAATTATATTTAAAAAAAGAGATAAAAAATCCATAAATGTTATCAAGAAAAATAAAAGTTTGGCATTAAGAGTTTAAAAAAACCACCCTTAAATATTTTTCTTATCACTTTTTAAAATATATATTATTTTTATTTTTATTTTTCTACTCAAAAGTCAAAACCCGGGTAAAAAATGTTGTCAATGACATTATTTTTGCGATACCATTATTGATTCACCAATTGTTTCAAAATCTTATGTTAAAGCATCGTTAATTAATTTTTTGTCAAAAATCTAGGTTTAAAAATATCATCACCGACATTATCTCCGTGACACTATTATCGCCAATCTTTTCAAACCCTAAGTTAGAGCATCGTCGGTGACATTCTCATCAAAACTCAAAGTTAAAAATGTTGTTAGTGACATTCTCACTAAAATCTCAATCTAAAATGCTATCAATGACATTTTTCTTGAAAACCTTAGGTCCAAAATGTCGTCAAGGGCATTTCTTCCCAAATCTAGATACAAAACATCGTTGACGATATTTTTGCCAAATTCTTAATCGAAAATGTCATTAGTGACATTTTCTTTCAAAACTCTAGGTCCGAAATGTCATCGGTGGCATTTCTTTCAAACCTATGTTCAAAACATCATCGGTGACATTTTCATCTAAAATCTCAATCTAAAATGTTGTTTGTGACAATTTTATCAAAATCCTAATCCAAAATGTCTTTAGTGGTATCTTTTCTTCAAAATCTTAGGTTTGAAATATCGACAAAGGCATTTTTTCCCAAAACTTAGTCTAAAATGTTGTTAGTGATATTTTTTTCTAAAATCACAATTTAAGATGTCATCAATAGCATCCTCATTGCAATCCGAAACCTTAATGTCGTAAGTGGTATTATCTCAAGAGAACTATCTTATGCTTTTCCTAGAGTGAGGATTAGTTTTTTGATCACCTAAATTTCTAATCACTCAATTAGTCGAGTCTCGAAGCTCATTGGTAGGAAAATATCCTTAAATAGGCATAAACATTCATCATATTGAAATCGGAGATTGTTTAGATTTTGTATGCAATGCGAGTTTGTCTCAAATAAGACGGGGTTTGATTATTTTTATCTTTTTTACATATAACCAATCCTTTACTTAAGAATCTCTGCGTAGACCGAGTCAAAGTTTCTAGTGACTTCTAATACTAGGTGATGACTCTTTTTCTAATTTTTTTTCTTTGGATGTCAAGAATTGCCAACCCCATGTCCCCCCACCTTTGTTTGAGCTTTTGTATTTAGAAAACTTATATAACGAGAACTTAAATTGGCTAGTTGCAAAATAAATTTGTAGTTGGAAAAAAATATAAATGGAATCCTTCATCAAAGTCTGGTATAGTATGTACTTTGTAATACGACTAGCTTTAATATATAATTAATGAGGGGATGCCTAAATCTATCTTCGACATGATGCGCAATGACCAATTTAATTTTCGGATTATGACAATGTATGATGCACGGTGAACAATATGTAGCCCATCTATAAAGGATTCGGAAAGAAACAAAATAGGAGGTTGTCATATATATGATAACCTAAAAGTTTAGCTTGGCCTTTTATGGACGTACGAGTTTCATGAAATCTCTTCTTGTTTAATTAATCATCCCTAACTTTTATTCGATCTACAAAAGAATTTTTAAAAGTTGAAAGGAAGTTGAAGTGGAGTTCCATAGTGGAGGATCACCTAAATTGACCGTAGTTTATTGCAAAAACTAAAGAAAAAAAGATAAGAATAGAATATCCAGCTTCTGTTAAATAAATAGCATAGAAACACTTGCGTTTGCAAGATGCTACCTCTTAAGATTTGTCAAGACTTTTTTTTTTTTTTTTTATCTAATCTTCTTTTAATATTATTATTCTTCTTGATATTCAAGTCCAAGCTATTGGGCTCGAAGGATATGTAAATTAGTAGTTGGGCATATTGATAAACGAGGCAAAAAAATTGATTAAAACTCTTAAGATATACTTGCTAAGATTTCATGAAAGAATATCATAAATTGATCTATTATATTCTTTAACATCACAAAGATGCAAGTGAACTGTTCTATAGTTGGATCCTGAGTGATATCTATTTCATGATAAAGCAATGTCTTCTCTTTTTAAGGACTTAATTGATCTTAATTTAACACATGGTTTAAAACCTTAAAAAGGCAAATTAATAAAAAATGGATCATGGTTTTCCAGAATAATTTGAAGCTACTGATTAATTACGTTTCCTTCTTGTTATGTAGGAAAATGCGAGGTTTTCTGTTCAGTTGACATTGCTATAGTTCAATTTTGACGTTAGACAATCAATATAATCAAGACTATTTAGCTTGATGATGACCCGTGCTTTTGCCTTGACAAAATAATACAAGATCACAGAGGAACCTACATAGGGCATATCTTGTCTGGTTCAATTCAATAAAACGCTTTAGAAAGAAAAATGAAAAGGATGGGATTTAGGTACTTGATGTTAACTATATAGATAACTCCTCTCTGATGGACCCTCCAATCCCAAGTGTAAGTGCTTAATGAGTCATCAAAATATAATAAAAATGGTCATCTAAACTCGAGATAGTATTATTTAATTTACTTGCCTTTTAAACTGAACTTCCTTGCGTCATAGAGCATAAGGTATTTCTATTGGCTGATAGAGTTTGAAGTCTGAAATTGTCCAGGTTTCTGAGGAAAACCTTCCTGAGATTGACTTTAACATCATCTCATTTTCCATCTTTCTCCTTCTTCTTTTTCTTATTCCAAAACATTCCCATTTAAATAATTACATTCCCCACATTATCAACTTTTATGTAGCAAGAAGCATCATATCTTAGCCAAATGATTATCCAAATCAATTTCTATGATTGCATTATCAGTTGGCATATATACACACACATACACATACATAAACATGCATAAATTAACATTTGTCAACATCTTATTACCTGGTCTAGAGACAGCATCCAATTAATTGCCCTCTGGAGAGTAAGTGGATGCGTGCATTTCATGCCTTAAATATGCATACATGAGATAACAACATTTATGGTACCATTCACAATAATTGTTTTTATTCTGGTCATGCAAGCTTCTGATATGGTTAACTCTTGTACATGAAATTGGCCCACCTCATTAGCCTTTTTTCTCCTATAAAACCCCGCAAATTCTCATGTCTTTCTTCATTGTCACAATCTCTGAAAACAAATATACAAACCCTTAAAGCATCTTCTCTAGACTTCTAGCCATGCTTCCAGGTGAGCTCACAGGCATTCAATATCTAACACCTGATCAAGACCTGATTCCATTTCCGGCTAATTTTGGCATGTTGCAACAGAGCAACATACCAGCCTTCCATTTCAACAGAGTCTTGAGTAACTTGCAAAATTCATCCTTCCTTCAACCACTTCATGAATTCACTCCGCAGTCGTCGAGTCTCAGCAACAACTCAACTTCAGATGAATCTGAGGAACACCAATTGAGCATCATCGACGAAAGGAAGCAGCGGAGAATGATTTCCAACAGAGAGTCTGCTCGTAGGTCAAGGATGAGGAAGCAGAAGCACCTAGATGAGCTATGGTCTCAGGTGGTTCGGCTGCGAACTGAGAACCATAATCTGATAAACAAGTTGAATCATGTTTCTGAGTGTCATGACCGCGTTCTTCAAGAGAATGTACGGCTCAAAGAAGAAGTTTCTGATCTTCGCCAAATGCTTGCTGACCTGCGAATTGGTAGTCCTTACACTGCCACTGCTATAAGAGATCTTGAAGAGGTCCCCTGCAACACAGCCCATCTCAGAGCTGAATCCTCAAACCAATCTGTCACCAGTTCTGTAGACTTGCTTCATTGAAAACAGGGATCTTTGCCATTTTAATTACTTCATGTTCATTTTGTTTGCGATAATTATCAATGACTGTTTGCCTTAACTTTAGCTTGTATCTGCAACAACAGCTTTCTCACTATTCCTCTCCTTTGCTTAATTATCATTCAACGCATTCCTTAAAACAATCAAATCCCTTTATATAACTTGCTATCAAACTTGTCTCCGCGTATGCATTAATGCAGCTGGCAAAGAAATACTTGAAAATGATATATCCTAAAGGTCCATTAGGAACATATAAAAGACTAATTATGCCTGAACAACTTTTACTCATTAACTTAATAACCCCACCAACCCTTAATAGAATACACCAGAAATTACTAATCACAGATGAACTCGACAAAACCTGAGAAAGGAAAATCAAGGAAAGGAAAAAAAAAAAATAGGAGAAAGAAATAATTATTTCTGACGTGACGAAGTTTTGTTTCATTCACTAAAAGAGGAAGCAAAACATTTCTCAGGTGTACTAAAAGATGATGAAGAAACAGGAAATTCCTGGCAGTGGTGGACCTTGTTTAAACAGGATCCATTCACGCCAAGGAGAAGGGAGGTCCCATAGCAAGGTCAAGTGTTGCTCACGATAGCAGGGGCAAGAAGACAAATGGTTGTGGAGGTGCTGGTGGTAGTGGCTCATCATACAAATAGCAAATACTGCTACAAGAAGCGAAAACATTTGGAAAGGTTATCCACTAAAACACCCTCAACCAGCTCGAGTACTATTCTTAGCTTTTTGCGAGGACATCATTGCCCTGCCTAACTTGGTTCTGCCTTTGTAGAGTTTACTTAGTTTTTTCCACCAATCCTGAGGGCATCATCATAGTGGAGGCTCTGCTTCAGGTGTAAGCAGATGCTCATGATGTTTTTGAAGGATTTTGCAATGGTTCCTTTCTGTATCAGTGGCATATATAATTACATCAGCAAGTCTGTCTGTTCCTCGCATCCCATCTTTCTTCTTTTTTTTTCAAAAGGTTCTATTACTATAGGTGGACATAAATGAAACATGTACTGGTGCTAATCCTGATGGATATATAGATATATGAGGAAATATAAATACCATGATGATCATATAGTTGACTTGAACAAAATCAACCGCATTTTTTTTTTTTTACCAAAGTTCCTCTGTTGAATTTTGTTTCAATCCTAAAGAAGTCTGAATGGATTATGCTAATCACCTAAAAGTTCATATCTCCACTCAATCTGAAGTTCTTTTTTTTTTTTTTTAATGTTTTTAAATGACTATTTTAGTTTTATGTACTTACTCTAAACTAGTTTATTGGCTACTTTGTTTTCCACAATTTCTTAGTGGGTTTGAAAACTATCATAAATTTCAGTTTGAAGAAGTCAATGTACTTAAAGTTCACATGTCTCCACTTTGATGGTTAATGGGGAGAGAAATCCAATCCATAAAGCATCATAAGCTTAACAAAAAAAAAAATTTGGATGTTAGGTCTTCTAACACTTTCTTTTTTGCATCTTTGCCCATGCATGGATCTATATTTGTACATGGGAGCCCAAGAAAAATTAAAAAATCTTCAACTTGCAAGTGGAATTGATGCACGAATACAAGTTTCGTTTATGAGTCGAGGCATTGCATATCAACAAAGGAAGTCAAAAGAAGAGGGATTAGTAAATTAGTTTTTCAATCTTAGAAATAGATACACCAATTAGATTAGTGATTTTAAACGTCAATTTACACGTTATCTAATGGGTGCTAAATAAGTGGCAAGCAACAATAGGTGCCCAAATGCTCAAATCATTGTGCTTACATGCCATTTTATTGTAGAGCAACGGAAGACATTATCACAAGAAAAGAATCTGTAATGATAAAATCTGATCAATATCAAAACTGATATATAGTTCATTTTCTATCATTAAATGATCACATAAAACTAATTGATACACAAATATCACTGGTCAAAAAAGAAAGGGGAAAAAAAAGAGAAGAGTAGTGTAAGGATCATGGTCCACTTATATCTTGTGTGTAGATATAATCTGTATGATCAACCATGGACCTTCTCGTCAAACACTCATCAATTTCTAACTCAGAGCATGATCCATCATCATAGATGCTTGACTCCTCCTACAAAAACAGAAACAAAGACAATAACTTGAAATCTTGCACAGTAATAAATCAACTTTTTCTTACGAGGGATTAGAAATACAAACTCACAGGTGATGATCCCATTGGAATGGATGAATATGGGTCTTGTGGTTTAGATTCTGGCCTGGCGGTGGCTGAAATAAGCCTGGATTTTGCACTTGAAAGTAAAAGAAACAGTACCATCATGAAGAAAGCGAGCCCTTTTGTCATTTTCTTGCTTAAGACAAGATGAACTTAAGGAGATAAATATGGAGGAGATGGAGAGGTTGGCTGCCTATGCCTATATAATTGTAGCAGTATATTGAGAAGTGAGACCGACTTGGGATAGAGAGTAAGGCTCCATAAATGAGCATTGAAACCATGCAACTAAAAGTCAAAGCATTACATTGCCAATGCCAACTTGGGTCAATGCTTTCTATTTCTTTCTTCCTAGGAAACATCACCATTTAGGGACATCATTGAGAGCTGCTTTTTTCCTCATCCTTTCCCCTTTCTTTGCTGCTGATGCTGTCAAGGAGTTTGTTGTTGTATGATTAGGAGCTAACTAGCGAGCAGTACTTGAAGGTGTTTAATAAGGATCGCATGTTCCCTTAAACTTGATAGACTACACCTATCAATCTCTTTGGGCACTTGATGGACAAATCGATTTTACATGACCTTGATGACCATTATCAATTCATACATTTTGATCTCTATTTTCTCAACTATATATATATATATATATATATATATATATAAAATAAAACATACTAACAAAGAAAGAGAAACACTACGCTGAAAGTGTATATAAGATTTTATGCAGTTCGTGGAACTAGATGTCATGTCGTCACCTTCGGCAATGTAAAACAGTATGACAAGAGCGTAAATAGCACAGATCTTAAAGAGGCAAACGTGAAGCATCTTAAACATTAATTAGCAAACCAACAATTAAAGATCGAGCATCATATTAATTCGTTAGACAATATGTTATCGAGGCTACTTTATTTTTATGTTGACTTTAGATAGCTAGATCGATTACAATTCCCATCGGATTCTGAATTATTTACCTACATAAATTAATCTACTCTACTGTGATAATATCATGTGTCAGCATTTTCATGCATATTGTTATTTTATTTCAGTAGGTCAAAGTAGTTAAACAGTAGTGGACTCGAGTTTAGCAGTTTGTGCTATTCTTTAGCTATTTTTTATTGTTATTTTTTAGTTGTTGTCGTTGCTGTTTTATTATTTTTGTTGTCATCATAACTAATAAAATTATTTTTTATTTGTTTTAAACATCATATATTAAAAAATTAAATTTTATTTTGATTTTCTATTATTATTTTAACTACGATATAAGAATGCAAATATTATTTTAATTCTTACATTTTGATTCTGATTTTTTTATTTTCGGCAATCAAACCACCCCTGAACCGTAAAGTGTTTGGATGGTGAAGGTGTCTAGATTAGTGTTTAGGTTTTTTCAGGCTGAGATTTTGTTGGCCTTTCGGCTTGGGATAGACTCTTATATTTCTCGGTGTCAAGTCTCGTTTTAACCTATGGATCGGATTGGGATAGACTTTTATATTTTTGGGCTTCAAGTCTCGTTTTAACCTATGGATTTAGCCCATTGGTTATTGTTTGAATTTTGAAGGCAAAAAAAGGGAAAGAAATAAAGGGAAAAGGCATTCGTGTCCCGAAATAGCGCCAAAATCAACACTGAAGGATATTTTTATCTTATCCTTCAAGTAGCAGAAGAGCTAATATATAAAGAAACTGAACAGGTATTTGTTGGTGGTGCATTAACCATGGCATGCTCTCCAACTCCAATCTCTGCAATAGCTTTCACCAACCCAACAAGGTTCAAAAGGGTTTCTTTTCCTTCTATGTTAAGCCCAAAAGCCACGGCCAAGGAAATTTACTTCAACCATGATGGTTCAGCCACAAAGAAACTTCTGGTTTGCAATTCAAATCACCACACAACTTTCCCTTTTTTAAATTGAGTTTTGCATTTGATGATTGGTCTGTTCTGTGCAGGCAGGGGTGGAGATAGTGGTAGAGTTATTGGGAGCGACTTTAGGACCAAAAGGAAGGAATGTGGTGTTGCAAAACAAGTATGGACCTCCCAAGATTGTTAATGATGGAGAAACTGTCCTCAAAGAGGTATTATTACTGCCTGAACATCAACATTATCGATTCCCTTTCACTTTGAGTAAATTATTATTTAGTCCTTTGTTTTGAATATAATTAGAACTTAGTCCTTCTTCTTTAAAAATACATATCTTAGTCTCTTGAATCTTGTTGACTATTGTTATTAAAACACATTGTTTTTTCTCTTCACTTCACCATGTTGTTTTTCTCAATTTAAATCGTCAAAAGGTACATTTAGAATGTAGAAAAGAAACCAACAGATGTTTTAATGAAACAAAGGTCAACAAGAGTCAAGAGAATAGGTTATATATTTTTCAAACACGAGGGACTAAGCTATAATCAGGTTCAAAACACAGGGACTATAAAATAATGTACTCTTTCTTTCATTCACTCCCGTATCTCAGTACCTTGGGAGAAGTTTGGTTCAAATTCTATGTAGACTACAATATGAGTGTCTATAGATTTGAGATGGGTTCATTATATTATGCTTGGAAAACAAAATTGTCACCCCTTTGGCAGGGACTCTCCTTTCGTGCCTAGTTATGCTCATATCTAGATCTACAGTTTGGTTATGATTGCTTAAATTTGATTTCATGAGTTACAATCGTTGGGAAAATAATAATGTTGATATTATGTATGGTAATGGATCCCTATTTTTTTTTTCTTGGTATTATCTTCATAGTTAACTGCTGCTTCTGTGCCTGGATTAATGTTTAGATTGAACTGGAGGATCCCTTGGAGAATGTTGGAGTAAAATTGGTAAGGCAAGCTGGTGCAAAAACAAATGATCTTGCTGGTGATGGTTCAACAACATCTGTAGTTCTTGCTCATGGTTTGATAGCTGAGGGTCAAAAGGTAACAACTACTTCACAAAAGAGAAGTGGACTGTCTCTTGTAATGAAGTTTTGGATTTCGATAATTTAAGGCCTCCAGCATGCTATTCCACTGTGGCTGAGAGTTTGATATCTTGGGAAGAAAATTTTCTAGTTGGCAGAGGCTTGTCATTTTTTCATGAAGCGGATTCTTGCCTTCATTTTGAAAAGTTCTGAAAACTTTCTGCATTAAAAATTCCACTGATTCCAGGTAATTGCAGCTGGCATGAATCCCATCCAAATTGCTCGTGGGATTGAGAAAACCTCAAAGGCCCTTGTCTCTGAACTCAAATTGATGTCAAGAGTGGTAAGTAAGTAAGCTTTTGTTCTTCAATTTTGCTTGAAACAATTAAGATTCAGAATAAGAAGACACAAAAGGCTTGTGTGAAGAGCAAACTATATTTCTGGTGGAAAAGCAATCATACTTAAGAAATATAATGCAGGTTGAGAACGATGAGCTTGCAGATGTTGCTGCAGTTAGTGCAGGGAATGATTATACAGTGGGAAACATGATATCCGATGCAATTCGGCAAGTAGGAAGAAGGGGTGTGGTCACAATTGAAAAGGGAAGGTGTACTGAGAACAACCTAGAAATTGTAGAAGGAATGCAATTTGATCGTGGATATTTGTCTCCTTACTTTGTAACCGATCGGCAAAGAATGGCAGTGGAGTTCCACAACTGTAAGGTAGGAACTGTAAATTTTAAATGATCTATCATGTTCTTTGAATAAACAGAAAGTATGGAACTTTTTGGGTGCAGTTACTTTTGGTTGACAAAAAAATCAAGAATGCGAAGGAGATGTTCAAAATATTGGATAATGCAGTTAAAGAGATGTACCCAATTGTAATAGTTGCAGAGGAAGTGGAGCAGGAAGCTCTGGCTCCAATCATTAAAAACAAACTCAAGGGTCTGCTGAAGGGAGCTGCTATTAAGGCTCCTGCCTTTGGTGAACGGAAGAGCCACTACTTAGATGACATTGCTATATTGACAGGAGGTAGAAAGTTCTCCTGCTTTTTTTCCCCTCCAGTTTGTGCATCAATTCTGGCAGTTTTTAACTGCATTGTTAAGTAAGTCGTCTGATTCTACCAGCAGGGTTTTATGCCCTGTGCTTCAAGGCTCATAAGGAAAAAGGCAAGCATCTTATATGTATTTTGTCCTTGTGAGTTGGGAATCATTGAGGCAACCTTCATTCCTCCATGAGATGCCAAATAAATGTTCATTATAATTTCAATTCCATGTGAAACATAATTGAATGAGAAGGAAATGTAACACACACATATATGTAACTTTACTTTCACGCATGCATACTAGCTGATTGCATGTTTTGTAGGTACTGTAATCAGAGATGATATGGGGCTGAAGCTAGAAAAGGCTGGGAAGGAGGTGTTAGGCACTGCTATTAAGGTGGTGATAACAAAAGATTCTACATTGATAGTAACTGATGGGAGCACTCGAGAAGCTGTGGAGAAAAGGGTTTCTCAGATCTGTAGTCTTGTTGAGGTGCATCTGCTCTTCAGAATGTAATCCCTGCCATTGTAGCATTCTTATTTCTTTCTAAGTTTCATAGCAGCATCCACTGCATGATCAACAGTGACAATCAACAAGTACACACATGAAGTCAAGTCTGTTATTCCTATGGCCTTATAATCAGGATGCTACATACTAGAAAAAGTTCTCCACATTAAACAGAACCTAGTACATATGTATCTTAGTTTTGGCTTATGTAGATCGTCAATCCCATTCCCAAAACAATCACTCTAATAAAAAATCAGAAACGTAAACCCTTTTTGGTCTTCTGATCTGTGTTTTAATCTTCACTATGTGATGAAATAGAAAATTTTTTTAGCAACAAGAATGTTTCCTTTGCAGAAAAAAAGAAGTTACTATGTTTTGGTGAAAAATCTCACTGAGGAATTGAGAGTGAGTAAAAAAATGGAATATAAACTAAGCCATTCATTATCCAGTTTCAAAGTTAAGGTTGCTGAAATGTTGGGCATACTTGCCACATGGGATTTTTTTTTTCTGACACCACCATCATGGCACCATTGTATCTTGTTTGCAGAACACTGAAGAAAAATTTCAAAAGAAAATACTGAACGAAAGAATAGCAAGGTTATCTGGAGGGATTGCTATTCTCCAGGTAATCAAGTGCTGTATAGTAGTCAGCAACTTCTCATCTTGAAGCTGCGATCATCTCGAGTATGTAACTCCATGTTGTGCTTTTGTTATCAACTGAATGACAGGTGGGAGCACAAACACAAGTTGAGTTGAAGGACAAACAACTGAGAATTGAGGATGCTTTGAATGCAACTAAGGTTAGATGGTTTTTTTTACTTCATCTTTCAGGTAGTCTTTTGTTAACTGTAGATAATAAGCTGCTTGCTTGTATATTGCAGGCAGCAATTGAGGAAGGTGTGGTAGTTGGAGGTGGTTGTAGCCTCTTGAGGTTATCAACTAAGGTGGATGGTATTAAAGTACTTTTGGATAATGAAGAACAGAAGGCATGATTTCTTTCATTTTCTTTTCTGTAATTATTTATTTATTTCCATGCAAAAAGAGTGGTTAGTATGATAAGACTTAGAAAAGTTTGACTGATCATTGTGAAATTCAATATCTACAATTTATATGTAGGCTATAAAATCTTGTTGTATCTCATTTGACATGGTACGAAAAAGTTTCACCACATTTATCAGCTCTCAACTGCTCACTAAAGTTAAGTGATTTTATGTTAAATTCATGCAGATTGGAGCTGAGATCTTCAAAAGAGCTTTGAGCTATCCTGCACGACTAATAGCCAAAAATGCAGGTGTAAACGGAAATGTAGTCATAAACCAGGTCTTTGCATTAATTCTTCATTGTGCTTTAAGATAATAAAAGTTGAAATTTGAAAATTTGTGCTTCTGAATTCTTTTTAATCATTGTAATAACACTTTGGTTCCAAAACATGTGAATTTTTTTAGGTTTTGTCAAATGCTGATGTAAGATACGGATACAATGCTGCAACAGACACTTATGAGGATTTGATTACTGCTGGAATTATAGATCCCACAAAGGTATTTCAATGATAGGATCATATGAGTTATCTAAAAGATGCACCTAGCTTATGACATAGGTGTCGAACATATATAAGAAATTGCAACCACAAAACAACAATGCTTAATTTGTGACCTGTTAAAAATGATTGCAAAGCAACCTTTGCAAAAACTGCGACCACACATGCAGGCTGCAATGCTTTAGAGTGATATGGCAGAGTAAATAGCTGACAAATGCCAGTATCTAGATAATTTGTGCAAAACAGAACGTTCATTAATTGAATGTGATTTAGTTAACAGAAAATAATGCATCTCGACTATTGGTTTTGCCAACTTAGGCTCTTAAATTTTGCAGGAGGTTTTATTTCTGTAGCACTTGGCTTCCTCCAGTCCACTTCTTCTGTTAGAACTACGGCTTTTCTTTTTTTGATCATATACTTCGCTGTCGATCACATATATTTAATATTCTTTCTTTCTAAGCCAAGCTAGATGTTAAATTTTCATTAATTTCAATCAAAAAATTAAAGCAGGTGGTTAGGTGTTGTTTGGAGCATGCGGCATCAGTGGCCAAGACATTCCTGACATCCGATGCTGTTGTAGTTCACATCAAGGAATCGGATCCCCTCCCAATGAGGAAACGAATGCCATCAATAGCCCCTCCTCCCATGGCAAAGTCCCCAGGTAAATCCATCTGCGCCATACAAATAGTTACAAACTATTGATTGCATATACGAACATCGATGCTCCATATAACACTGGAAGCTTATCTAATAATGGTGCATTCCAATGATTTGTGATTCAGGTGTTGGACCAGTTGGTGTATACTTATAGTCTGGTAACTGAAGTTTTAAATACATGCTCATTATTCCGTTTTTATCTCTGAAATCTTGAATCATCTGAAGTGAAGAAATCGGCAATGGTTATTAAATAGAAGGGGCCCAAGTAAACTTTCCAATTTATTCTATAAAATGGTGCTGAATATCGAACAAAGAATTGCCGGTGCCCAGTAGCTGTGTGGAGTATAGTTTTTTCGCAAGAATTGCTGGTTGCATTTTATGAACAAAGCGTCTGGTCCTTAAATTTGCTCCAAAGAGGAAATGCACTTCGTCGACAGAGTGATTTTACCAATATAAGTTTGTTGTGCAGTGTAACTCACTTTTGAAAATGAATGAATTAACAAGCTTGTGGTAGAGAGTGAAGGGAAAAACAACAGGCCATGATCCAAAAATGTAGCAGCTCCTTGTCACATGCTGCATCTTGCAGTTTTTGCACTGAATGTATATGCGTTGTACAAAGGCATCTGTGCTTGTGATTTGAGTACAGTTCTGTTTAGTATGATTGCTTTTTGATGGTTAACGGAATGAGATTGTCTCGAGTCTCTTTAAGGTCAATGAAAAATCAGAAGGAAATCATGGCCATCTTTAAATCCTCATCAAATATGATTCTGCAAGCAGAAATCATGGCAATATGCATGTAATGCAAGGGACCTAAAATCTTCTAAATACCCTATAACCTTATGTGATGCGAGAATTATTCCTGACAATTAACAAAAAGTAGCACAAAAACAGTTGTAAGTTGAAAGTTTGTGAAGTAAAGATCAGAAGGTGCTGCAAATTCCTGGAGAGAGAAGAAGAAGTTGGATAGAGTTTGCATGACCTCAAATTTGGTACAAGAAGATGGATGGAGATGGTAATAAGCCCTAGGAAATACTGGAGGGCACAGAGGACAGAGACATTATTACTGTGGATGAGGGATAGACGTGGTCCACCCACTGCTACCTAGAAATTATATCCAAATATGCCTAGGCAATCTCTATTCTGATAAATCTTGCAGGTTCCATTGGTTTCATCACCTCCATATTCAAATCCTGATTTTGTTTTTCAACCCGTAGAATTTTCCTTCGCTGTTCAGATAAATCCTGCATGTGGGGCAGTCACTGCTACCTATTCTGTTGTTCATAATTTTATGCCAGCATGATACAGTTTTTTTTTTTTTTTTCACAATCACTTGAATTATGAGATAAGAAATTGAAAAAGAAAGGAAAAACTCTATTTTGAGACCACGTGTTTGCATTTAAACTATTTATAAATAATTTAGTGAATTTGAACCTATATATATTATATTTATGTAATTCAATCCAACTACTTTCAATTTTTAATAAGCATAATAATAATAATAAAACTAATTTTACACAAGAGAGTAGATTTATTGAATGAGAAGCATAAATAAAAATTAGGTTTCTTCTATTTCTATTTTCCAAAAATGTGCAATATGGGCGTGAGGTTGTGACATAATCACTTACGGATCCCACATTAATTTTATTTTTTCAAATATATATATATATATATATATATATATATATATATATATATATATATATATATATATATATTAAGTTAGAATAGGGCATTTTAGTCAAAATTATATGACATACGACTAATATTTCCTATTGCTAATAAGTTTTTAGATGTTTGTTAAAAATTAAAAACAATTGAATCGAATTATCTAAACATAATAAATAAAAAGTCAAATTCACCAAATTATTTATATATTTTAATTTACTAAGTTAATACAAACATGTTATCCGAAATGTGTTTTTTCTAAAAAGAAAAACAATCAAATGCAACTCTAGTTCCTTAAAAGAAAAACAAAATTGTTAATCATACTAGTTTTTTTGGAATTGTTGAACTCCCATCTTAGTGAATCTTAGATTGATCTATACATAAAGAAAATTATTTCCTTACTAATTTATCTAAGATTGAAAACCTAGGTGAAGTAAAAGTGTGTGTGCATATATATATATATATATATATATATATATATATATAGTATGTATGTATGTATGTATGTATAATTAAAAGAAAACTCTCAGTTCAAAATATGAGAAACAAGGCCTAAATGGATCCATATGAGCCCAGAATAAATACATTCCAAAAAGCCCAACACTGGACCATTACTATGTTCCCCTTCAAACATCTGGATTAAAGATCGTCATCATCCTCATCAAGTGTCGACCTCAAAGGACCTTCGCAAATCCCAACAAGAAAAAAAAAATCTTTATAAATTGGATAGAGATCTCAGTTTCTTGTTGAACTTAAGAAACCCACTTAAGGTTTCTCTCATTTTGTTAGGATTCTTTCCTTCTTGTGTAGTAGACAAAGAGTGGTGAAGACAGAGAAGAAGAAGAAGAAGATGGTGCTGATGGGATTAAGTATACAGTGCATGATGGATTTAGTGGTAGCAGGGATTTCTTTAATGATTGGTCTGGGTATTTTCGCTTTTACTGCTTCCATTCTTTGCTCTGCTGCTTTTCTTCTCAACGCCAAGCATGTTTCTTGATTCAACCATCCAATGGTAATACTATATACCTCCCTCTCTCTCTCTCTCTCTCTCTCTCGTTGTTAGTTCATCCATTAGAGTTTTCCTTTTATCAATTCTTGTGGGTTTTTTTTTTTTTTTGTGAAAAATTGTCCTTCTCAATTATGATCATTTTAGACTGTTAATTTAGTGGGATTTAAAACTGCCTCTTTATTTTGTATCAATGACTTCATGTAAACAAAAAATAATAAATAAATAAACTTAAATCCAGATAGCACTGCCCTTGACTTTAGTTTGTCATGGAGTTAGCATAATTATTATATAAATTATTGTAATTAAATAAACAACTCCAGATGATACAAATTATTAGGCTGTCTAATTATCAGAAGACTTGGATAGCCTGATTTTTGGGATTAACCATCACTGATAATTTAGGTGTTGATTTGTTACTCACTATTTCTTAATTTTCAGATTTTTTTGTTACAATAATTTTGACAACTTGTTATTTCTATTCTAGTTGGGACACTATATAAGAGGAGTTGAATTACTTTTGTTAAGAGTATTTAGTCACTTATCAATAAAGCATTTGTTAGGCTTAGTCGTGAAGTAGCCTATTCATATTTTACATGCATACATTCTTTCATTACAGCATGATTTTAACAAAATATTGAAGGAATTGATGAAAAGGGGGTAATGACTTCAAAAACTTTTTTGTATTGTTTGAGGTGTTCCCAAGCAAGAGTTGCTGATACAATGGTGATGACTTGTTTCTGATGAATCTGCTTCTTTGTGGTCGATGTAGGCATGCTTAGCACAGGCGAAAGAGTGCAGTTTGTTCTCGGGTTGGCTCACTTGTATGTATCGAAGAGTTTTGTAATTCCTCTGGTATTAAATAATGAAAGATAAGTTTAGTTGATTCCCTCTTGAATTGTTGTGTCCGTCTTGTTCTTTGCCAATTTGTTTGATGTAATGCATTTCCTGCCAGCATGGAAACTCTTATCTGATCATTTGTTGAAGTTGTTTACTCTCTAATGGTCTTGTTCGTTGCTGGAAATGATTGGTTTGCCTTGTGCTCTAAGCATGTCAAAATACTTTTCATGGTAAATAAAATGGTTCTCAGGCTTGCTAATCACCTTTACTGTTATGTCAAGATTCAGGATACCCCCAACCCCAAAAAACAAGGGAAAAAAATAAAAATAAAAGGATCGGGTTTTGTCAATCAATAATCAAAGCCAAGCTGATTGCAGTCTCGAAGACAAGCTAACCTAAGCTAACCATATCTCACCTGGACTTGGCTCTGTTCTGAGTTTTGGTTGACCTTGTCCTGCAGTGTTATCCACATTTCATACCGTTGTTCTTCCTTTGCCTTATAGTGTTTAAGAGAAAAGGTTACTGAAAAACATCAATTGGACTCTTAAATGTATGAATCCCAATGCATACACAAACTCTGCACTGACTCCTTAATTTTATGTCCAGTCACAGCTTGTTCAACTTGTTGAAGCTCAGTATTTGGTCCAAATTTGGGCTTCGAGTGTGTACTTCCATCAGCAATCGCCATACATTTGCCTCTCCAACATGCATATAGGGAAAGATAGAATGGTAGCAAAGTCAAATGAAACACACGCCATCACTATCACCAGATAACAAAAAAACCCAACCCAAAAGAAATCACAAAATAGCAAAACGAATTAAATCAAAAAAATTATATCTTGCTATTCTTTTTTCTTGAATACACCATCCCTTTTATCCCATCAGGATCTGCCACAAACCCCAAAGGCCTATAAAACCCGAGAACCCGAGGCTCAGAATACAAAGCAATATTAATAATACCTTTTTCTAACAACTCCTCAATCAACCTCTCCATTACAGCTTTCCCTAACCCAATTCCTTGAAATGATGGGTCAACGACAACATCCCAAATAATAGCATTAAAAACGCCATCACCGGTTGCTCTAGCAAATGCAACTGGCTTCTGGGTTTTCTTGTACTCCACCCATAATAGAGAGTTTGTGTTCTCTAGTGCCAGTCTGATCTTTTGCGGGTCCCGTTTGGGGAATCCAACCGCTACGAAGACGGTGTTGAGGTGGTCCAAATTGAGGTCTGCAATCGTGCGGTGGAGATTGAAGCCTCGGGATTCAAGGTCCGCGTCTGAGATGGACAATTTGTTGGTTACTGCGGATGAAATGACGGCGTTTTGTGGAGGGAGGAGATGGGAGGGTTTGAGGTGGAGGGAAGGGAGTGGAGTGAAGGTTAATGCGCGCAGGGGAAACATTGTTTCTTTCGTTTTTTGTTAGAATTTAGCGTTCTCTTTTGAGGTTTTGCAGATCAAAGAGGGTTTCTTTGGCTTCCTTTGTTGATTGAAGGAGGGTGCTTCTGCGTCTCTTGGATTGGTGTGTTTTGGATTTGGTGGAATTTGTGGTTGTTATTGACCGTTAGTAAGTAGTTTGCGCGGGATGATATGGGCAAGCCAGTCCTGTAAAATGCTGAGGTTAAACCCAATAGATTTTTGGGCTTCAAAGAAGTTCAGAGCCTAGTCCAACCCAAGTATATTCATGAAGTTTAACAATAAATGTGGATTTTGGTTCTAGAGAAATGAATACATGAATAATCCATAACGATCAAAATAGTTTAATGAGTTGATCTCCTTAAACCAATCAAATTGCTTTACTTCATGGACTAGGCAGTGGAAACTGAAAAGTCGAAGGTTAAATGGCGTCGTATTCTTCGCCCAGCCATCATTCTCAACTACCGACTGGTTGTCTGTAATCACACACCTACTATTTGTCATGGTTTTATGCGGTATGAAAATATTATACAATACGATTGCTAATGTGACACATTATGTCTGCCCCACCCAAAAAAAAAAAAAAAAAAATTATTATCGCTTAAAGTGTTGGACTTGGAGGTTGGCAAGGAATGCGATTACTTTTGCCAGACTTAAATATCCTCCTACCAATTACTTGCTTATTTCCTGACATTGTTTCTGTAGATGTTATATTTGCAATCATAACCTTATTATATGTGACATAAAAACAGAATACAATTAAAAAAAACATGCTTGTTGATATTGTTGTTAATCACGAGTTCTCATTTTAAGTTTGAATTTTTCTATAATCATGTACTATTTATTACTTGTCATGGATTCTATACTGTCTAATTCTATAACTTCAAAACTGATCATGTCTGATTGTGATGATGTTTTCAAATAAAAACATCATTTTATATTTACGTAATATTATTATAATTCGTGTGGCTGAATACAAGTCATGAATAAAATTTAATATTTGATATTTGAGATAAAATTTATATCAATATTTGCTTAGATTCGACTAAATATAACAAGAGTTTTTCATAAATTTTGTAAAACACAATAAATTTCTTTCATTTAATATTTGTAAAATCGAATCGGTGCAAGAGGCAACTAAGTTGAGCATAGAAATATAAAACCCGAAAAGCAGGACCATAATGTATAAAACAAAGAAAATGAGGGGGTCAAATACAAATATACAACAATTAATCCATGCGAAGATCAAAGCCAACAAACCAGCCCACCAACCCACCCCCCACCCCACGGAAAAGAAAGATCGAACAAAGACATTGAAGTTAGAAGCTATAAGAATAACGACAGCCAGATTTGGTTCATTCCCTCCTGAGCTCTACCGATTCTTTCGTTTCTTGCTCTAAAACCCACAGATCATCCTCAATCTCTCTGGGTTTCTGTCATTTTCAAGGTATATTTACTCCCACTTCTGAAAGTTTCCTTCGTTCCCCCCCCCCCCTGTGATTTATTAATCTTGGATTTGATCATATCCATCTGGGTTTTCTTTCTTACGTCTTGCTGCTAATGGTTTTTATTTCTCTGTCTAGTTATGCGAGATGTAACATTTTTCTTGTTAAATCTCTTTTCTGCACTGCCTCAACAATTGTCTATGTTGTTGTTATGTTTTCGCTGATTGCATACGTTGTTATTGTAAGACCTAGTTTTCGAATGTTGCATCTGTTGTTATGCAAAACTTGTTCAAATTTGGTTGGCTTCATTTAAGTTGCAGTTTCTTGAGTAAACTTATAATTATGTGGTTGAACTTCAGGGAAAATAGTAGTAGTCTTTTTTGTAATCTTAAGGTACAAAGTTTTACTGTTGTTATTAAAAGGTATAATTTTGAGAGTGTAGGTGTTAGTCTTTTTTTTGTTTTTCTAAATCAAAATTTCATTATTTTTATCTTTTAAACTTTTTGGTCATTTGTTTTCCAATTTTTCAATTACGATTCATGGTTTCCATCTGCCCACACTGAGATACAATGTTTGAACAGGAAACTAGATATGGCTACCCCGACAAGAATTGGCCTTGCTGGCCTTGCCGTCATGGGTCAAAATCTTGCCCTCAATATTGCTGAGAAAGGATTCCCTATTTCTGTTTACAATCGGACCACGTCAAAAGTTGATGAGACAGTTGAAAGAGCCAAGCAGGAGGGAGGTCTTCCCGTATATGGTTTCCATGATCCTGAATCCTTTGTCAAGTCAATCCAAAAACCTCGTGTGATAATCATGCTTGTTAAAGCCGGTGCCCCTGTTGACCAAACCATCAAAACCTTGTCGGTTTACATGGAGAAAGGGGATTGTATCATAGATGGTGGTAATGAGTGGTATGAGAACACTGAGAGAAGGGAGAAAGCAATGGCTGAATTAGGTCTACTTTATCTTGGAATGGGAGTTTCAGGCGGTGAAGAGGGTGCTCGACATGGACCTTCTATAATGCCTGGTGGTTCGTTTGAGGCCTACAAACACATAGAAGATATCCTTCTTAAGGTAGCTGCTCAAGTTCCCGATAGTGGTCCTTGTGTCACTTATGTTGGCAAAGGAGGATCTGGCAATTTTGTTAAGATGGTTCACAATGGGATAGAATATGGTGACATGCAGCTGATTGCAGAGGCCTATGATGTGCTGAAATCAGTTGGGAAGCTCACCAACGAGGAACTGCGCCAGGTATTCTCTGAATGGAACAAGGGGGAATTGCTGAGTTTCTTGATTGAGATCACGGCAGATATATTTGCAATTAAGGATGACAAGGGAGAAGGATATTTGGTCGACAAGGTTTTGGATAAAACTGGCATGAAGGGTACTGGTAAGTGGACGGTTCAACAAGCTGCTGACTTGTCAGTTGCTGCTCCCACTATAGCGGCGTCCTTGGATGGAAGATTTCTAAGTGGGCTGAAGGAAGAAAGAGTTGAAGCTGCAAAAGTTTTCAAATCAAGCGGTGTTGGTGACATCCTAGCTCACCAAGTCGTGGATAAGGAGATGTTGATCCATGATGTGAGACAAGCATTATATGCATCCAAAATATGCAGCTATGCCCAGGGTATGAACTTGATACGCGCAAAGAGTGCTGAAAAGGGATGGGATTTGAAACTGGGGGAGTTAGCAAGGATTTGGAAGGGCGGATGCATTATCCGTGCTATCTTCTTGGACCGTATCAAGAAGGCCTATGATAGAAAGCCAGATCTTCCTAATCTTCTTGTGGATCCAGAGTTTGCAAAAGAAATTATTGAGAGACAATCTGCTTGGCGAAGAGTTGTCTCCATTGCTATCAACTCTGGTATTAGCACCCCTGGTATGTCTTCTAGCCTTGCGTATTTTGACACATACAGGAGGTCCAGGCTGCCTGCTAATTTGGTCCAAGCTCAACGAGATTATTTTGGAGCACACACATATGAGAGGATTGATGTTCCTGGATCCTTCCATACCGAGTGGTTTAAAATTGCTAAACAGTCAAAGATCTAAGTTTTAGCTCTCTCTTGGTGGTAATTTAGTAATCTGCCTTGGCAACTTCTTGTCATTGAATCTAATAATATTGCCTTTTTGGCGGAGAATCAGAATGTTTATTTTGTTATCTTGCACTGATATCATCGCACAGAGGTAAAGGCATTTTAAGTCTGTTCAGTTATTTGGGACTCGGCTAGAAGGTCTAGCTGCCTTTGCCATTTTATTTTGAAGGATTAAACCTTTTACTTATTTTCCCCTTCTTCAATACAATAAAATCATTTCTATTTTCCTTTGGCTTCAAAAGAGCTGTATTACATTTGCATTATTAGTGCATATTGCAGAATGCACGCCTATAGCACTTCATACCTCTTGTATTGATGCTTTTCGTTGATCATCCTCTTCTTTTTCAAAGGCTCCACTGGAATTGGTAGACCTTTGTATTCTCAGCATTCTCATCTTTTGCGGTACGGAGGAAGTACTCAAATGTTCTGTAACTTTTGTTCTTATAATGCAATTATGCCCCCTTTTGTAGGATGTCACTGCTGGGTTTCTATGTCCGAGTTGCTTTTAAAGTCCCTCGGGTTAAAATACTGACTTTGATTTAAATATTCATAGATGCTACAAAGAGTGGTGGTGAATTCCAGGGTGCATCCTCTCTTTCATTAAAACCAATGTATATAGATAACACTTCTCATAGAATGATGGGTGGTTTTCCACGAGACTACTGTTTTGTTGGCTTGAGGGCTGTCACTTGGTCCTTTGCCAAGAAATATTGTCATGAGTTCTAAAAGGAAAGAATAGTATTTGAATCTAGCACCCTAATGATGCTTGGCAAATATTGTCAGCTGTCATTCATTTGTCTGGCTATTTGGATCAAGTAATTAAGTCTTTCCCCAGGAAGAATTTCTCTACTTGATTTATTACATCTTTTGGGCCGGAAGGGAGGTTTAAAACAAATTTCTCTGAAAATAAAAAAAAAAAAAAACTTCTACGTGTTTCTTCGTTTCTAGGCTGCTAGCCCCACAGGTTCAAAATTTGGGCCTGCGGGAACTTCTCTTTTGTTTGCCACCTAAAACCAATCAAACCTGAGTTGGAAATTCCTTTATTTTGTTCTTTATTCTCAGTTATTTGACCTTTAGTCGTGGTGTGAAGTGATGACACGTATTGTTAAACTATATCTTAGTTTGATTACATGGATTCTCCTTTTCCGTTCTGCTATATCTAGGATCAAAATTTGATCCATTTTTGCAATGATTGTTAGGTTGCTCTCGGTACTTGAACCTCTATCTATGTGGTTGAAATCCCAAGGGGGTAGATTTGGGTTATGTTCTGGGAAGCTAAAACAAAAATTTTCAGTCTGGTAAACCGCTACAAATAGATATGATAAAGAGTTTTTGTGGGAACCATACTCCTTAATCCTCAGGATCAGCAAGGCCTACCTGCCGATCTGTTACTAAATACACTACACCCACATTGCCACACAGAGATAAAGCTGTGCTCGTGCAGTGTGTCTGTGTGCATGCTCTGAATCTCGTTCTTCCAGGAGGAAGATGTAAGTAATAAAATCTTCGTGCATATATGTTACCTATGCAACACGTTTGTAATACACATTGCAAATTTATAAACTCTATATGAGCTTTGTAAATAACCACCATTTACATTTCCAAGAGTCAAAAGTTCACCTTTCTAGAAAACTGAAGAGAGACAAAGATAGAGCGAGAGAGAGATCCAACTCAGTGGAATTCTGGAATTCCAAAACAGACTTACAGAAGCGTGGAGGGTGCTTTACTTGTAGACATCTGAAGAACATCAGCACTTGAAAATTTTCTACTTTCTGGAACAAATGAAAGAGAGAGAGAGAGAGAACCAGAGGACATCTCTTCTTCTGATGGTTCAACTTGTTTTTCTTACCTTGGTTCCACTTTGCACATAACTGGCAGCACTGTTTGCCTTGAGCGCTGATACTTCCTTTTCTACTATGATCCTTGCTGATCCATCTCTTTGCTTCACTTGTTTCTGAAGTTTTGCTTTTGATGAATATTTGCTAGTTGCATACTTGGAAGGACCTATGTTAACACTTCTCTCGTTGCTGCTACATGGAAGTTCACGATGACTTGGACCAGAAGAGGCATCTGAGGTCATGGAGTCATCGCTCTCACCACCACCACCAACACCATCATTCCCATGATTCCCTTTTCTGCAGTCTCCTTGTTTATTCTTGCTATCATCATTATCATCATCGAAGTTGTTTTCTTTGATGGGGGAGGCAATATAGCTTGTCCACCCAGACTCACTGCCACTAGTCCCACTACACTCCTCTGTGCATCCCATGATTTTGGAGAACTCCATTAGTGTAGCTATCTGGAGGAGCAGAATGGAATAGAAAAACACAACACAACAAAATTTGAAGAAGAGGTTTGAAGAAAGTAGCTGGAGATGGTTATAGCATTCAATATTACCTTGGAAAATCACTTGTATATTTGTCTGTCTGACACATATATGATCAGCCAAACGCAGCTTTCCACGCACAGGATGAAGAGACCCCTCCCACTGGTACATCAAACCTTCATTATTGAATTACCAGGCAACTTTCACCACCTGTCAATCCTAGCATCACTATTTCTCCGCCTTGAATCACTAGAAGACAGGCTAGGGAGATAAACAAGGGAAACCTGTCTGATAAAATAGAGCAAAAATCCAAGTTCTTAAATTGAATGAAGTGGGGCAGGTCACTTGCTTATTAGACCTTTCTCCCGAAAAGTAACTCTTCCTATATTTCTCTGGCCATTCCATAAATAAAGAGCAGCATTCAAGGTGGCAATTCAGATGTGGCCCACCCCACAAACAGAGAGGGGAATGTGAGACCCATTTTCATAAATAGGCTACGACAGTGCCTTTACAATGCACTTTAATTTTCAAACCTTTAATCCGCTGTCTTGTCATCAGGGATGAGCAGCCTTTTCTTGTGTAATATGCAGAGAACCCAACTGGGTTTTGGCATTTTGTATCAAGCTGGTTGGGATCAGGTTGGCAAAAGGTCATTTTGATTTAGCTTCTCCTGTCCTTCTATTGCCATTTCTAGTCTCTACAAAAAGTAGGTTTATGTCTTTTGTCTTACTGGAGGACAATCTTGGGAGAATGTGACAGTAATTATTTGTTCTGGTTTCAGGTAAAAGAGTCTTTTGCCTTTTAAGCTTGCTAGTGCCATTCATCATCAGAGTCTATAAATACATAGAATTCCAGGTTATAAGGATAATTTTGGTCTCATCTTATGCTATTTGAATTACAAAAGACCTGTCGAGTTTAAAATATATAACAAACGTAACATGGTAATGAGTTTTGGGAGGAGTTCTGCTATATATGCATTTACTTTAACAAACCCGCTCTTAAGCTAAAGACTGTCTGCCAATAAGTCTGAGCAAACCGTTCCCTGCTTGGAGGTTTTGTAAGACCATCTGCAATTTGATCTTTGGATGAGAGAGAGCCAACTCTGAGCAAACCTTTGTTAACAAAATCCTTGATAAAATGAAAGTCAATCTCAATGTGCTTAGTCTGTTTGAAATATTGGATTGACAGGGAAAAAACAAAATAGCACCAAAATTGTCACACCACAAAGTATGTCAGGTATTAGACTGTATTTCCAACTCATGCAATATTGATTGTAACCAAACCGGTTGAATCATAGTATTAGTAAGAGCTCGATACTCGGACTCGGTGGAGGACCTAGCAATTGTATTTTGCTTCCTAGCGGACCAAAAGACAAGGTTATTCCCCAAATAAATAGCAAACTCACTGGTAAATTTCCTATTATTTGGACACCTCGTCCAATCGACATTTAAGAATGCTTGCAAGCTATTGGTAATAGACTTTGTGAACAATAAACCAAAAGATAAAGAGTATGCTTGGATGTAGCGAAGTAGTTTTTTAATGGCCTTTGGTCCGTTGGAGCATGTAAAAATTGACAAAGTTTGTTGGCAGGAAAACAATGTCTAGGCATGTAATTGTAGCATATTTTAATGCCCAAACTATACTTTTTACTCCCGAGGATCTTCGGATAAGAACCTTGATCCGTGGACGAGTGTAGGTTCCATAACATAGGAGCATTTATGGTACTATAATTAAGCATGTATCAACATGCTAGGAGATCTTCCAAATACCTTTGCTTGAGATGAAATGAGACCTTTTTGAAGTGAATTCCACCTAAATCCTTAAGAAATAATGTAGTTTATGTAGATCCTATATAGCTAACTATTTGTTAACAACTTCGACAATTTCATGGATAGTAGAGTGCTTAGAGATCAAAATATCTTCTATCTAAATCATAATATAAATTTGAATAAACTATTTTTCATAAATGAAAAGACATCTATCGGTTTTAGAGCCAACAAACTCAATGACCGATAAGAAATTAGATAATATTTGAACTAGGCCCTAGGTGTTTGCTTAAGGCCGTAAAGAGACTTGTTGAGTTTACACACATGCCGAGGTCTGCAGAGATCTTCAAAACCTTTCGGTTGAACCATATACACATCTTATGTCAATGAATCATTGATGAAGACATTAAAAACATCTAACTACCTTAAAGACCGACCACCGGAGACAACCAATGTCGGGATGGTGCAAATGGTTGTGTATGTAATCACTCGGACTATAGGTATCTTAGTAGTCAATTCCTTGTTGCTATGTGAATCCTTGGCAACCAACCTCGCCTTCAATCTTTCTACAATACCATCAACTTTACATTTAATTTGGTAAACCCATTTATTACCCATAACTTTAGTATTAATGGGTTTTGAGATTAAAGTCCAAGAATTGTTATCAAGTAGTGCTTTGTGATGTATCCACATGATTGTGATCATGACGTGTCTTTCTGCTCCACTTAAAGATTGTTTGGATAAAAATTTATCCCAAACAAGATAGTACCGACTATTTGCCAAGAGGCATCATAATGGAACAAGATCCGAAGAAAGTGAAGGACCATGCATCCTATGAAGGTGTGGAATAAAAAAAAAATTGTTTTCCTTCATCTAAAATTTTCAAGATCAATCGGTGAATCAACTAATCATATAAATATAATAAGATAATAAGTAATTACCTCTTATAGTATAGAAATCAAATTATGCGAAAAGAATCATCAAAGTGTTCTCTCTCTACTAATTATCCACCCAACTTAAACACCCATGTAAGAAGCGACATATATCATAGAGTGCTAGCTCCACCCTTTTCTCGCTAAGTAAATTTTCTATCAAAATCTCTCTAGGATTGGCGCACTTATATTTTAGAGAGAGGTGTGACAACTTTTGCTTTTTTAGGGAAAGACGTTTTTTTTTCTTTCTTTTTATGGGAAAGACGCACCCGAAGCTTTTTTTTTTATTTTTTTGTATCTTAGCCATCTCTCTCTCCTCTCTCGTATTTGTAAGTGGCACCAACAACTCCTTTTTAGGAAAAAAGTTATTGGTTATGTGGGCTTGTTTGATCTTATTTTTATAAACTTTGAGCATTATCCTTTAATGCTTAAGATTATTCATCCACCAAAAATATCTTACAAGCTTTTTAATTAACCTATTGGCTTAAATTTTTGTGATCCAATTAATTATCAATTAATTTGGACCATTCAAATAAATTAGGTCAAATATTTTTAGGGAGGCCCGCATTAGAAAATATTTTTCCAAGTTACCCTTAAACCTAAATTAGAAAACTAATTTTCATTTTAGGTAACTCACTTTCAAATTTAGAAATTGATTTTCAAATTAGGAAACTAATTTCCATTTTAGAAAACTAATTTTTCAAAACATAAAACTTTTCCAAAACGGAAACTTTTTTCAAAACCTTTGCTTCTCTTTTATTGTGTGAATATTTAAATTTATACGTGTAACTCAATAGACTCTTAGATATGTTAGCAATCTATCAAAAAGTAAAAGACACTTCTTTTAACTCTTGATACATAAATCAAGATTGGCCTCTAATAAGGCATCCCGATTACCCAATTCTCTAGGATGATTAATTAATCCATAATTATCTTTCACGAGCATGGTTTTCATACAATTCGTCCTTATGTCAATTTATTATAGTGTGATCTTGAATTTGGTTTATAGTTTGTTTGATTATGATCACACAAGTTTTCTTCAATCTCTAAATATCTTAGCTTTCAAGTAAACCAACTATGCTATATTTGTATACTTCCATCATAGCCATAGATTCTTTAAGCAAACATTCATTGAAGTATAATGTGATAACTCCTTTAGCTTCCAAGTAAACCAACTATGCTATATTGGTATACTTTCACGATAACCATGATTCTTTGAGCAAACATTCATCGAAATGCAATGTGATAACTCTTTTAGCATATAATAAATAACGTGTTCTATCTCGATCATTCACCTATCTTCATTAGATTCCTAATGCATCTAATGAATCGTCTACACACGAGTTCTTTACTAAGCCCATCAAAATGAGTGACAAAGAACATTAATCTTCTAATGAGATAACCGTGATGACTTCGAGGCAAAAGATCACTTATACTCATCTCGTATGAGATTCTCATAGACTAAACTAAATGGATTTTCATAGCCGATCACGTCTAGTGATATGTTCTCTAATATTATTCACTTGAGTGCTTGCTTTGACATCGTCATACTAGTAGATATGAGATCTCTTACTATTATCTTATAATAAAAGCATAGCTCTCATAAGTTTCACTTGCATATTGTCAATGTTCAATCTTAAGAATGCTACTGACTTGGGACATTTAATGATATCATTTAAATGCATTAATGTTACATCTATTAATCAAACATTAATACAATACGGACCACATGGACTTCTATCTAATTTTATCAAATTATAAATAACAAGAATTAACAAAAAGACTTCTTTGTTAATATTAAAATACAATGATATAATAAATCAAACCATTCAAATAGGTTGGATCTAGGGCATCTACACTAACACAAAGAAAATACCATTTTTTCTAGATAGATTCTTAACTATCTTAAAGATTCATGGTGTTTAGACCTAAAAAAATACATACTTTTATACCTATGTAAGGTAATAACCATGAAATTAAATGTTCGATCTCTACTAGCTATACTTCGAGGGTTGTCTCCCTTTATTGGAAGAGATAATTCTTTTTCTTTGTACAATGTAATATTTTGGTTGTTTAAGAATGAAATTTTGGCTCCTAAAAAGGTTAGTGGTGCTTTTAGACTTAAGAAATGTATGTCTTTATACTTAAGCAAGGTTGTAACCACAACCTTATTCATTACCAACTATACCATTGAGAATTCCTTATACATACTTTGAGATCATCAAGGTACCATTGCTCTTATGCATGATAAAGATCCAAGCCTTTAAAAGAGAGTTTTGGTTTTTAAGAAAGTGTATAATGCTTTTAGACTTGGACAAGGTAATAACCATAACTTTTTTAAACTTTAAGAACTTACTCCTTTATAATTACATTTTTTAGACCTTTGCTATCTCATAAAATGATCGAAGTTTTTATGAAGCATAGAGTTTTTTAGTGTGATTTTACCGATATGTACCAATTGGCTATTTTTTCATGGAATAACAACTTCACTGATTTTTCTTTTATAAATAAATATTTTTACGCATGAGAGATTCATCACTAAAGTAATTTAGCTTACTTAAGAGCTTGGACTGATATTTCTTCATGTTTTCATGTTCTTTTTCTTTTTGCTTGATCCTCTTCTTGTCTGTTTTTAGTTTTATTTATGTTTAAGAGGGAGCATCTTTGAGCGATAATCTAGCTTTTCTTGATTGTAGTTATTCCTTTAGGAGTTAAAAGCTTTAGAGCCATATAATGAATGGTAATGGCAGCATTAATCTCATAGAAGAATGGTCTTCGAATATGACATTATACATCAAATTCATTTCTATGACCATGAAAGTGGGGTTTATCACTATAGTCTAAGAGGAGGTGTCCATTGTTACTTGGGACTTAAGCTGCTCCTTCCATCAAGACATGTCCTCCCTCTATCCCCTTCAACAAAATGACGATTGATTGAACTTTGAAAAGTCTAACT